GTAGGACCAGAACAGAGCATCTCGGAAACCAAGGGACAGACGTAAATCATTACACTTGCGCGTGTCTTTCCTCATGGAAAAATTAGTCTTATAATCCAGTAACCTATGCGTAAATTATGTTTTCATAGCCTGGTTTACCTGATCCATTAGTTTTATGCATCAAGCGGATCTGGGAAGGGAGGGCCCAGGGGGTCTGCACCCCCTTTTCTTCAACGCTGACCATAATGTCCCATAATGTACTGATTTTTAGAAATACTGAATCCTCACCTACATACGCCTGTGTATTTTAAAATTACTCAAAACATGCATCCAATACCACTAAAGAAACCCTATTCAGTCATACAAGTGAATTAAAACGTACAGTTTACCTATTTTGGATAATATTTACAGTACAAAAACATTATATTTCAAAAACGTTCTCTCTCATAGCGTTGGGCCAACAACAGGTACTATTTCACCATTATCCCATGAAGTCGCAGGCAATATCTTATGTGGAGATGAAGTCGCAATTTATCCTATGAAGTCGATTTGACAGTAAAATCAGAGCATTTATCCCATGAAGTGGTAATATACCATGAAGTATCTTAACAAACGTGTTTTAAGTTTTTTTTTCAAAACCTTCATTTGACAACGTTGATCCAGCCACGTCCAAAAAACAGTCATAATGTGACGTTTACACAGTGTTGTATTTTGGTCATTGACACAACATTGCAGACATGGATTGTAATTTAAAATATTAATTATTGAAACGTGATATTTTCTTGATCAATACTGTAACTAACTTTATCAAAAAATTAAAAAAAAGTGTTTTTAAGTAAAAGTGACAGTGGTTGTTTGTGTTTAGTGAACCATTTCATCCAACAGTGCAATATACATTGTTTTTACTGAGGGTACTGCTTGATTTCTCCGTTTTCACAATAGTATCCTGGCCAGAAATACACGTGCTTCCTTAATGTGCACATCGCTATGGTTGACACCTGTCGGCAGCCTTCTTGTGTTGTCATTTGAGACACACTCTGGTTCACCTTAAAGATAAACAGTAAGCAGGTGATATGACAGCAAAGAGAACATTGGTATGAAAATAATAAAGTTTCTTCAATAAATATTTATATATAATAATGCTTACATGGCCCACCCCCTTCAAATGTGCATGTCATACTTCGATTTCCCCTTCCAAGAGATACTTCGCTCTCTCTGTGGCCCCTTGAACAATGATATTGGAAATTTTGTAATGGTCTCCCCGTCTCCACACGTGCTGTCGCTGCAGGGGTCTTGCGATTAAACCTCGGAGCTGAGCTTTAATCCGTTCAATAGCGCGTGTGGAGTCGGGGAGACCATTACGGGATTTAGCGGTGATGCTTAAGTAATTTCACGTAGGGTCCACCATATCTTATCCGCGGATAATAAGATTCAAGGATAATCTGTTCTGGATGGGCTCAATGTCAAACATTTAGAATTTTCTACATGGATAACTGTAAGAAGGTCACGTAAATGTGCTTGACGTACTTGACAAGGCTAACTGTAACTAACAGGATGTGAACTTATATAGAACACGTATAAACGAGGAGAGAATTCTATAGCGTAATTACATGTACAGACCTCTCAAAGTGGACCAGTCCTGTTAAGAATATCGCTCGAACTGAACAAGCTCTCAGTCAATGCAAATATTTGTTAATGACAAAGTGTATTTCAGTCAAACCCCGATGATGTTCAGACGCAACAAGTAGGTATTTATAAAAAATTCAATACTGTAGAAGCGTGGAAGTAAAACTCGAGCTAGACAGGATCTTTTCTTGTGGATCATTCTATCTTTGATATCTGAATGGTTTGAACCAAAGATAGTCGTGCTACTGGATGTTTTAGTTGATGGAAGCAACACTCACCCTCGTCATTATTTTGTTTAACCCCTTTTTATTAAAAAAGATATATTTCTATTTCCTGGTTTCTCAATATGGTTTCTCAGTATTATAACACACGGTTACCTGTGTCAGTATGTCAAGCAGATGGGTTTCACGTGCTCTTTCCGACAGCTCTGTTACCAGATTCTGAATAAACCACGTACCATTTGCGGGAGTTCGCCAGGACCTGTCACCTGAAAAGTCAAACCGATCAATTTAGTTCCCGTATTTCAAACTGGGTGGACTTGACAAAGTCCTTCAAACTATGCACAGTTTTATTTATATAATGTATCTACAATACAACAAAATGTTTATTCTGTGTCTGTACAATATACATATGCAATCTCTCTTACAATACACTACAATATACGTATATAATCGTAAGGTGGAAATAGAATGACAAATCGTTGAAAAACCATCAGAGTCCATCATTTTACCTCTAGTGGTTGCTAATACTAATATCATGTCGGCTTTCTCTGGAGTTTGAGGTGTTTCTTGCTGTTTTGCTGTCGCTTGCTTGGGTTTTGTGTCTAGAACTGCTGCATTTTCAACGGGACCTATGTAGAATTAAGGAAACATTATGTAGAAAAGGTATGTAAATGAAGTAGTGACTAATATTGGCATTATATGTTTTTTCTTTAAAATAAATAAATAGAATAGAAACAAGCATATTGCCTAAGGCGTAAAAATTATATTAAGAGAACAGTTTTGTAATAGCTCCTCCCTACCTAAAAATATCAACGCCCTCTGCATGAAAGGTTAAGCAAAATTTGCTATATATCATTACAGCTAAGGAGCAAAAACAATTAATAGGTTCAAGGCTATCAAATTGTAAAGTGATCCACATAAAATGAAGCACACAGCGGTGGACACACCCAGGAACGATACTTACTACTCTGACAAGCAGAAATGAAGAACATCTTGGGTTTGCCGCTCAGTGTCGGGCACCTGGAGGCCTCAAAATGTGCCATTATTTGGTCGTATCCTATGTGATAACCGTCAGTGCCTATCACCGTGTTCTCCGAACCATGGCTCAGGACCACCATGATGAAGGATGAGTAAGCACTGTGATCACTTCTTGCCTCACGTTCAGCTAGTTGATTTATACTCTACATAGAAGAATTCAAATAATTATATTTTGTCAAATCAGGGTTATAATAGTAGTGCAATTCTCTTTTATTAGAGGTTATGTCTTTGGGTTTGTTTGTCATTTTCACTGCCTGTTAGTATATATCTCTGTCTGTTAAACCTCCTTTACACCGGTGTCTTTTCTGCGTCCTTGGTGCGACCATGAAACTGACCATGTCGCCGTTTGACGCTCAAAGAACGCACGGTGATCGCTAAGATTGCACAAAGAACGTTCAAGTATCGCCGTGGACGCCATGGACGAAGTTTTGAGCATATTCAAAACAAACGCACAGAGCATGCGGTGGAGGGTGGACGCACAAAAATCGTTCGGTCGCAGAAAGAAGGCACGAGCTTTGGTAAATACTCGATTATCGGTCAGTTGTCGGCACGTAAAATATTGTTTTTTACTCTCAAAGGAAGCTAAACTAGGGTATTTTTCACCAGAGACGGGGCATTTTAGGGTAAAAACTACTAGTGGTCTCGAACATGTATCAAGTTGGTATGTTTTCACTAAAATTCTTGAACCGATCCATTTTGGAGGTAATTATAGAACGAACACTTTGCCTTTTTTTTTTTTTTTTTTGAAGATGCAGTTCTTGTCGTCTTTTGAAATCAGATTAAAAAAATTCCATATTGTGTCAGCCAACCTTTCTCGTCTATTGTTAGCTTGTACTCTTTTAAAAATTAATAATTTGTAATTGATTAATGATTAAAATTACGAATGATACAATGTTATTATGCATCCAATATAATAATTTTAGAGATATGTATAACTCTGATAACTGAACTTACAAATAGCAATTGACAATAGGTCAGGTGACCAGTCCATTCAGGTCACTGTGAAAAGTCTCAAGTTGACAGCGTGACGTTGGTCAGTTGCTAAATGTAAGTTCCAGTAGCAGAATTATACACATTTTTTACGATTAACTTTTTCGTTATAAATATTACCCTTTGGAAACTATACTACTTTCTTTTGAATTCGAAAATGTGGACGATTAGGCAGAATGATTGAACATTGACGTAGGCTCGACATACCCCAGCAGACAGGTTGTCATGCTTGGACACCAAGTAATGTAACTGCTTGAATAAAATTTCTAAACGCTCAACATCCACCTCTGTCCCGTCTCTATCAGGGTAATATCTATTATCAAAGCTGATGTTATTGATGATCACAGCTTTCCCCCTCCACTCTGTATAGTTTCTGTAGACCTGAAATAAATGACTTTAAAGGTATGTCTTAAAAGCAAATATTGATTAATGTTAATCGAAATTGCAGCGTACAGTTAAAATTACAGGGTTGCACAGGCCTTGATGATTTTTATGTACACACCTAATATAATAGCTGAATATAATACAGAAAATATATAGAATATATAAACACTAAATACTAATAAGTACATCACCAAAACAGCTGTACCTACTTACCTGTTTGTCGTCGAATGCCTTGTCCCGGAACAGGTCATCTGAAGATTTACAATACCACCTTCGATAATTAGGGGTTAATTGAATGGATGGAACCATTCAATATGAGAAGAGTCTAGTGCTAGCTAGACCACGACCTAAATATGCGTCGTCCCTGCAGGGGCACAGTAATTAAATTTCGGCTCAATTCAACCGGTCGAGGGATGACGCGTGGGCGTGTGAGAGGCGGAGAGACCAATACAGAGTTAAGCGGTCGTCCTTTAATGTAGGTCCGCTATATTTAGGTCGTGGCCTAGCTGGCACTTGGATTTTCTCATTCTGAATTGTCCCATTAAATCATGTCAGCATTAGCTGTCACGATCATAAATATATATGCTCAGTAGTATACTCGGTGAGTTTGCGCACAATCTCGAGTTCTATACTCACAAACTAATGAATGTTTTCTTTGAAAACGACAGCAACATTTCAATTCGGCACATAAACGTACAGCACACTAACACCTACCTTCTTCCATGCTTTGGGGCCTACGTTGCTCTTTCTCTTCGTCTAAAAGGGATAAAATAAATATTACATACAATCTACCTGGTCATTTTCTCAATATGCCACAGGAGTTTTAAGGCTATATTTCACGGAAAGACGACGTTTAATTGTTTTAGCCCAATTTCAAATCTCACATTATAACTATGTAGCATTAAATGTCATAAGATCTATTGGCTTCAATGTTTAACTGCTTACGTGAAAACCAAACACGGTATGGTCTCAAATCAATCGATACTTCAGAGGTCTCCAAACATGCACAGATGACCTCCCTTGTTTGTACATCCTGTGCTTGTATTTGGATATTTGGCCCGTCATCTTTTATCCGGATACAGTAGACAAAATGCATTCTGGGGCAGTATGTGTTCCGAAGAGTTGACAACTCGTCTTCTACTGTCTTCCGTGTGTTTGCGTACATGTGAGGCTTCGGCGGGTTTCCAGTAGCGTTAGTAATCAACAGCTTTATGACCTTATCTTCAACAACGAGATGGAGCACCGACTGTTTGTCTTCCAGACGGAAGGAGGCGCGGTCAAACCCGACAACTGGGATGTTATTTTCATATCGCTGAGCTTTATACTTCCTTAGAAGACGGATGATCAGACGATGAAACAACCCGGTAGGAAATGGAATATGAGGGAATGCAATAAGCAAATATTTTTGTGGATCCGACTCAGATAACGCGTTGTTTGCATTGTTATTCGATACCAGCATACTAGGCACGACAAATCTTCTCTTTCCAGACCCTGGGATTGGGTTTTCAACTGATTGGGATATTTCTAACATCAAGTCGAAATGCAGCATTAGTTGAATGATTTCAGTCTTGTTTTCGGTCATCTTAATTTCTTTCAGATATTCATCAAACACCTCCTCCTTTAGTACTCCTCTTTTAAGCTCATCCTTCAGGATATCACCATAACTGCACCCGGGGTGGCTGCTGGTCGGGGTCATGATGGCAGAAAACACATCTGCTAACCAAAGTGGATCTATTATGACGATATTTTCCAGTCCATCTACTTTGAAGTGTAGGATGTCTCCTTGTTGGTGATGGTAAGGAATGAAACTGTCTTGTAATTCTCCGTCAGAGAGTCCTACCCTTTGCGCCATTTTACACAGTTCTTCAACAGTTATAATAGGAATTTCTTCACTCTTCTTTGCCAAATCCATTTCCAGCTGAATCCAACCCACTGAAAACTTTTGAACGGTAGCCTTACTGTCGCTGCTATAGCCACACAGTTTTTCGATCACTCTTTTTATTTTATCAAACTCCGCATCATCTTCGGCCAAGTTGTTTATGGCAAAATACTGGTAGACGTGGTCCTTTAGTACCTGCTTGTCGTCAAGACACTTGCTGAGTTTACCAAATATGTCTTTAACGTCAACCTATAAATAAACGTTCGCTAAGATATAATTTCTTTGTTGTTCAATTTCATAAGGATGATGAATTTTCAGTGGAAAAGAAAAATGAATCTATGTGATAGCCTATGCTTCGTCCTAGAAGGGATGGGGGTATGTTGTAATAAGCCAATCGGCTGTTTCACAATCAGGGTGAACAATTAAATGTGGTTAATGTTACAAGTGTCTGATAAATTTACAAATTATGATTGGAAATTGCTGATAGACTGATATCAAAGACAGTGTTCATAGGAGCAAAATAAAAAAGAATTATAATAATCGGACTACAATTTACCAAAATATGGCCAATTATGTATCCAAAAAGTACCTATTTCTAGCTGTTACGGTGGGTCATTTGCAACTTAGGTCATAAATATGATGCACTAGCTCTTTATGTCAATGATTTATGGTGAATATGATATTGGTATATAATTCCCACAACATATGTCTTCTCTTCTATCAGGTTCTTCCAAAGATGTTATTAGTAAAAAAATATTTTATACATTTTGCTGAAACAGGCTTTTGTACACATTTTACTTACTTTTGTTAATGCAATGAAAAACATATTTGATAAGGCCAAATATTACTTTGAAATCACCTACGTGACAATAAGATGAATTTACCATGTTATGACTTAAACATAAGAAAGGAGCTGTGCATATGTAACCATTATTATTAATGCTATGGTATTTATAATCATGAGCCCCTTGGTGTCTCCTACTTTTTGTAGTGTCCGTACAGATCTAAGCTGTGATTCCTGAATAAAATAGATAGGTGGGTATCTATTTTATTTAGGAATCACAGCATATTCTGTCTGATTTTACTATTCTATAATGTCTACACTGACATTTATTTTGCAGGAAGAAAATAGCACATAACCCCTTATTATGAAAAGATATGCACAAATTTGGTGCCAAATGTAGTGTCCGTACCCCTACTGTAGTGTCCGTACCCCCAAGTTATACATTAACCATTGGATAACTGGCTACGTATCAATGATGATAAAAATTCAAAATATGATGTGAAATATTGTTTTAGACTATATAAAATTCATTCTTGTCTTATGATGTTTAGAAAAAACATGGTATATAAATATATATTCGATAAAGTGATACTGATTGATTAAAGACAGGCAATAGATTTTGCAAAGAAATAATATCAGTAAAGATGCAACTCTTTGCATTCAAAATGAACAATGTTGGTTTGAATATATTGCCAAATATAGCTAATTGCCAAATAATAAATTGTTTATGGATTTATATTCTATGGATTAATGTATATGATATATTTTGAGGCGGTACGAACACTTCAATGCATGAATAATTAACAGTGCATTTATTATACTCTCAGTGAATGAAATATCAAATATGGATGACAATAAACAAAAAGCCAAACAGGAAAAGAAAAAGGGATCCTGAGTATTTTACTATCAGCAAAAAATAATTTTGAAAAAAAAGACGTCAAAGAGCTTATATCCGTAAAGATGCTAATAATCTTACTGAAGCAAGTAAGGAAGACGTTGAATGCACGTAACATAGCATAGAAGCAAAAAAAAAAAAAATCCTAGGCTGGCTCAGCAAGAAAGACAAAATTAAAGAGAAGAAATTAGGTCATACTGACAGAGAGTTAAGGAGAAGCAGAAACCCAAGAATCCTGAAAACAGTAGAACAAGAGGTGCAAATTAAACGGATAATAACTCTTCGTTTCGGCCAAAAAATGAATTTTTCTTGAGTAAAACAACAATTTTCCCATACTTACCAATGATTAATGAATCCATTTTTACATTCAAAGTTAGTATCGGTTTTTTTCTAAGTTTTTTTTTTGTTAAAATCTCTTAAGAGATTCTAACAGAGTATAGCCATCATTGGAGGTCACGTGGTCTAAAGGCAAGCTCAGATAGCAGAATAATAGCTATAACTGCCGTTTTTGTGGTAAAACAGAATATATTATAGTTCTATGAGTTATTCACAATGTTTTTATCGTGAACTTTAGATCTCATACGAATAGTTATTATCCCTTTAACGAAAGATGAAAAAGAAAAGACTCCAAAAACAGGAATCAAAACTGAAACAAAAAGATAAAAAAGGTCATGCAACATAAAGAAAAGTTAAAATTAAAGTCTGGTGAATGAAATTCACTCTGAATGACACACAACCAAGCTCCAGCATCCACTGAAAAACGTGCTGTAGTGTTTCTCTAAAAAAACTCTTTGATTAATACATGTACTTGTATCCTTTTGGTTAAAGTACTGCTGTTATATCTTTAGTTTGACATTTTTTTAGACTTTTGGCAAAAATAACTGGTAAACAATATGCTATTTCAGTTACAAATAGCATCAGTTACTTGAATGTGTAGTGTCCGTACCCCCAGATCATAGTCTAAGGGGCGTTCTGTTAATTTGAGCGTAGCACAAAAAGTAATTAATGTTGTGCTTTAAAAATTGTAGATATCATAGTTAAGATGTTATTTTTTTTATCTGTTACAAAATTAAACAAATGCATCAGAGTTCATTTTTCACTCAATGTGACCCCTATTTTGTACCCCTGATCGTGAAACAGCCGCAATAGAAAAAAAAGGCATTGAAGGGTAAATAACACCTTCTTCCAGGTTTGGCATGAATGGAGGTCCGTTAGGAACCGTAGTCCGTGCCCCATGACATGTAGGCCCTACTTTGTACAGGTGACATGCGTTCAATTTACTAGCCCCAAAACTAAGACTTACCCAAACCTGAACTAATAATATGGGTCCCCGGACTTCCTAGGACCTCCATTCCTGTCACACTATAATTAAATCATGCCAACCATAAAAAGTGCCTTTTTAAAGAACCATGTAATATTCCATGTATATACGTCAAAGGAAGGTTAGAGGAATACAAAATAAACGCATAATTAGATGTATGTCAGTAAAAATTATAAATAATTGTGATAGAAAAGGTCGTTACCTGTGAGCCTAACCTGTCCTTATGAGTTCCAATAATCAAGACGTATGGAATGACATCCCTGTCTTCTTCCCTCAATCGTTCAACTGTGTGCATATGGATAGAGTTCAACCAAAACATAATAAACTCTGAAATGTATTTCAAGCTTTGAGGTAATTGAAAGATGAAAAGTTGTCAATGTTTTTTCCACAGCATTGATTAATAATAATAATAATAATAATAATAATAATAATAATTTAAATAAAAATAATAATAATAATAATAATAATGAAACTGCACACTGTTCACAGACCAAATTTAACTGTAGGCCACTGAGTAACGTATATAAATGTATACCACAGCATACCCTTCACTGTCTTTTGTCCTCTGTATACGGGGATTTTTCTATCGAGGTCTACGTCAAGCCGGAAGACTAACAAGTAGATGATATGCTCTGATAGGAATGTTTGGTGCGTGGTGTAGTAGACATCTTGACCTCCAAAATCCCAAATTGTAACCTGTTTCTCAGGCTCAACAGGTTGTCCTCGGGCCAGTTTTTCTATTTTATCCAGTAGATCCGGATCAATATTCTTGATATAGTCTCTCTCTGCGTGGAATGCAATAAGTTGGGTTCAGGCAAACGGTTGGTAACGGCAAAATGTACATTGTGTTTAAGTACTTTCCCACTATTATAGTAGACGGGTGCAATAATGTTGACACTTATATGTTTACCCTGTATGACGCAATCAGAGAATTTCATTTCAGAATTGAAGCTAATGCATTATAAACGATAAACGTTAACTAGTACAGCACTACGTGTGTACTTCTTACCTACTGTTCGGACAGGAGAGGCATGTGATCCACCGTCGTCAGGGTTAGCAGCTGTAGAAGAAAGAGGGCGGTGAAAATTAATTACATAAGTACAGTACATTAATTATTTACAAAACCCGCGTATGTTTTTTTATCCAAATGGCAATATAAACCGTTATCACATAAATTGTATTTTTTCTGTCTCTGAGAGTACATATTATGTTATGATATCAGGCCCGTAACCATTATTTCCAAAGAGTGTATATCGGCAACTAAAGAAAAGTAATCGGGTTTTTTAGTCAAGTCAATCTCTGGCAAGTCGAACTAGGGTTTACTCTGAGAGGACCATTTAATATGTGATGTATAAGACATCCTGGTATGTAAAACTTTAGCAGTGCAACCTGTTTCTGCTCCACAGGTATACCTCGCGGCATTGATTCTATTTTATTCAATACCCCCTGGTCAACACTACTAAAATAGTATGTGATGAATACAGAGTTCAAAAAGTAATCGGATTTTAAATACCTTTATTAATTTAAAGAATACTAATAATTTATAGAATAATAATGCAATAATGACTGTATAATTTGTAGTAAATTAAATATCTGCACTCGACCTGAGTTACAAGCTAAGATAAACATTGTGATCAATACAGGTAAGCTCTATTTACACCACATATACATGCATGCATTTTACTTACCTGCTGCTCTGTCAGGGGATGTATATGATCTACTGTCACCAGTGGAAGAGGCTGTAAAATATAAAGCAGTTTTATTGTCTTTCAAGTTTAAAAAGCTAAAGTTCTTAAAGCATACAAAAACATGCCCGAGGGCTAAACGTATAAAAACATTTTCTTGAAAAAATTATTTTATGACATATAGAATAATTTTGGGAAGCAGTTTTCAATTATCTTACAACATTCCCTGTTTTGAAGGTACCGTATATTTGGTAGTCAACCAATAAACACATATAGAGGGATATCTTTGCAAGTAAAGAAGATTACTACAGGTATTTAATTTTTATTATTCCAGGGTGAGCTGTTAGACATTGGCATGTACCTCTCTTTGTCACCATCCCATTAAAAATCCCTCCTTTCACATCTGTAAGGGACTCTGCTGGTGGTGTTTGAACCATTTCTACTGGATCACCGAATGTCTTTGGTTTCTGTATTCCAATTGCCATGTTTTGAACAAACTGGTCTTCAGGGTTATCTGAGAAATGGTGAGAAGGCCAGGTCATGTATCAAGATTTGTATTGAAATGTAGCCTTTCTGAAGGGGGGTGTCAGGCTGTGAAGTTGAAGACTGTCTTAAATTAAATTAGCTTAAACTGACTTTCACAGAAAATAAAATTATCGTAGTTGTACACCACAATGATGTTTAAGAGTGCATTGATTGTGAACCCTTATGCATGTCAATAAATTGTTAACCATGCAAATGAGAGCCCTTAATGAAGATACTTTTTACCAACCCCTCGTCCACCACAAAATGATAGTGAAGGACAAATTTTGTCACCAACTTGACCAGCCAAGTATACATAGTAATTATTGTTTGCCATTTCAAAATTCATTTCTTCTCTCCTTTTTGTTAACCCGAACCCGAACCCGCTGGTGCCAAATGTGTCAATTTTTATTTTCTGCTTACCTTTTCCTCTAATCCAACAAGATCGACCAGCCTTTTGGACAATACATCTATGGCGGTATATCTTCACGCCAGGAGTTTTTGCATCGTTTTCTTCAACATATTTCTCTTGGATGAGACGCTTGGCAAGATGAGTCTTCCCAACGCCGAAAGGCCCAACAATAGCTACTCGCTGTCTGTATACTGGAATCTTACCGCTTGCACACAAACTATGGAATTGTTCCCTAAAGTCTGGTGATAAGTAATAATAATAATAATAATAATAAAGATAATAATAATTAACGTTTTTACTTTTTGCTGTCTATGCTACTTCTAATGCAATTGTTTGTTTAAATGAATAAAATCAAATAAAATCAATAGAATAAATAAATCGTTTTATATGCATGTAGTAATTTCATCTGTCCACATGTATAGCCTAAGCAGTATGCTGGGTGTTTGCTGCTCATTGTAAATAACGGATATTAATTTTTAACCGATTTTTGCACGCCGCCAGGAAACCTGCAACAGTCTGTTTTTAGTCAAATCATTTTTTATTTTTGTAAAAATATCATTCTCAGACAGTGTTAATCAATGTGAAAGGCAACTATAATTTGTAAATGGCGACTTTTGCTTTCGCAAACTTTATAGAAGCAAGAAAGAAAATTATTCTTTAAAGTAAAATATATTTTTGTTCTGTCAGGAAAAGAAGGTGGTATCCGATTTCGTTATAAAACCATTCGTTTTAGTGCTTTTGTCAGTAAGGATTGCCTTTCCGACATTAAGGAAATATCAAACTATAATTAATTTTGCCCACTGCAAATTTTAGTCATGTCCCCTATACGGAATAAGAAGGATCTGAATCCAGAAGAATAGTCTGTTAAAACGCTAAAAGAAGAACTGAAAAGACAAATATTTCATTGCACATTTTGCGAAAGAAAGGTATATGAGTAGTTTGTTTAACAGAATCAATCAGAAGCAACAGCTCATAGCAATCAAACGGCTAATTATACGTCGTTGTCGGATCTAATTGCGACTATATCACCCTATAAAACAGTATCTGGTTAAACCACAGAACAGCTTCCGAACCATCCTTATCCAGGACAAAAACCCTTTATGAAATAGACTCGGAATCGTAGCCTCTTTAAAGGCAAGCACGCCAAACCTAAAATTGTACAAGGTAAATCTTGTCACATTATTTAGTCCCTTATAAAACACCTCCAGAGGAAGATGGCGCAGAGCAAGACCCTCATCTCAAAACAGTATAAACGATGCGAAAGTTCGCTAAAGCTTTCGGAATTTACAAGAACGTGATACACTGTACGCCAGTCCTTTGCAAAGAGGCAGAGTTAATAGACTTATAGACCATTCCCACAGATATTCATATCGATCTATCTCCCTGTAGAGTCTCACTAGATTGCTCTCAGCCTGGCCGTCTTAAATGTCTGTTTCGCCTACTAAAAGCTGTAAGGGGGTAATTAAATTTTGTGCTCGCCCGGCTCTCGGAAGCTGACAGCAATTCAAATAGGGTGAACCCCTAGGGAGTTAGGTCGACCAAGGATGGATATTAAGTCATGCGGGCATCTATTACTTAGTATTCTAAGACCTGAGGACAGGTATCGATATCCTAGCCGGACATTTTTTTCCAAACAAGACGAATAGATATCCCTTGATATTTTTATATGGTAGATGTAATATTTTGGAAGGTTTAAATTTCGAGTTTTTTTTCATAACATAAATGCCGTTTTTGATTTTACAGCGTAGTACATACAAGTATTGTGTATATAAAAACCCAACAAACAGCAGGCCCGTAGCCAGGGGGTTGGGGGGTTCGAAAGAATTTGACCTAGGTACATGGGGATTATATGGTAAAAGGTCAACTTTTTCAGAAAAAGAACCCCCCCTGCGGTAGGAGAGTACATTCTAGGGAACGCATGTCCATAGGGCATGTTTCTAAGGAAAGGGAGGGACATACATTCTTTTCACACTGACCACGGGTTCTACGAATATCACAAAATGTGTATCGCTAAAGTTACCGCCTTTGCGGTGAAATTATAACCATAACGCTGGTATTTATCCTGGCGCCTAAGGAAAAAGGGAAAAGGAAAGGAATGTTTTAAATGCCATGTGTATGGAAGAAGAAGAAATAGTCACGTTTCTTGTTTTGTTTAAATAATAACCCTTGATATTTTCATATGATGTAATATTTTTGGAAGGTTTAAATTTCGAGTTTTTTTTCATAACATACATGCCGTTTTTTGTATTTTGCAGCGTAGCACATACACGTTTTTCGGTGAAATGCAAGCATATCAAATACACTGCTCACCTAAACCCAATATTGTGCATTACACAAGCTGGAGTGTCAAAAAATAAAAATGAATGAATTCAAAATTGCATTCAATATTTCAAAACATATGTGTATAGAACAAAAATCCACGACTGTCTCAACTGAAATTCAATTTTAAATTTTTACCATGTCTTCAACATTACGCAAAGAGCCCTATATAGTAACGTATGTTCTAAACTGTACGGTAACGTATGTTCCTTGTCATTTAATTTTCATTTTTATGACACGTTCCGATATATATTTTTGGTGGTTCAGTTATGGTAAATTAGACATGACGTAAGGACGTTTTTATAAGGGCATCATGGCTTATACTAGGCAACGTATGTTCCCTGGAAAAATTGTCAAAATGTTTTAATTTTGTTCAAATACTTGTGTGCAAGAGATACAATGTTTTCTTTTGCTGACCGAACAATATATTGTGGTTCCATGATAGTTTGACATTTCTGATATAATATTTGGATCATGAAGGGAAAAATTAATTTAATTTAATTTAATGCTTATTTTACTGTCCGTAGAGTGCATTTTCCCCATTTTTTTAAATATTCTGTGGCAAGCAAACTAAAGTCGCTCAATAACACATTTAAAAATGCTCCATACAGAATATTATTATAATTTTTAGCAACGTTACACTTGTAGGAGATAAATCAATGCACAAAACCAGTGATGATCGAATTTTCAAAGGGAGTAGAACGTTTCACAGTTGAACGTTTTGCATTTGTGACAGTAACGTATGTTCCTTTTTGAGGTTAAACGATGAATTATTTTTAATTATTCATGGTTCCAGGAGAGTGAAATTTTTATACAAGCTTCTTCATGTGAGACCCTAAAATAATCAAACACAGTTGGCAATCTGTAAAGTAAATGTTTTTTTAATAAACATGCTTGTGACATCAATTGCACCTCTATATTGGGTTTGGGTGTGCTACCCCTTCCCATATACAAATGTATGTGTTGAACACCCATCGCATGTATACACTCGGGTGATATCAAATCATCTCATACTTTTCGCCTTTGCAATCACTCCAAATATTTGTAGAATGATAATGAAACGTGGATAATTGTAGGGTGAATAAATAGAATTTATCTGTTAGCGTTTATGTTTCTACAATTGATCTTACAGGTAGCATTCTTCTAAACGCATTTTTGCCTCTCGCCTGATATCTCGCCAAGTCTGAAAGGTTGGCTGTTGCTCCCGAATTTCTTATTTTAATATTTTGTATTTTCATCAAAAACCACATGCTCTTATATACTGTAGGGCGTCCACTACGTATCCTATAAAACTCAGTCAAGACCTCAATAGTTTCCCTCGATGAGTTAGTTAAAAGAATTCTTAAATCAAAATTTCACAACTCGTCGTTGAAAAATTTTAATTAAAGTCTATTTTATAATTTAAAACATTTCCTCATCAAAACAATGCTAACTGTATAGCTGGAGAAGATTTTTTTTAGTGATAGTATATCGTTGTTGGGGATTAGAACTCATTTTATTTTCTCTAACCTGTTTGTATTTTAATCAGACGCCTTACTCATGAGCCTGTGGACACTGCTGCCAACTTGAACCGATTGAAAATCACCGACACGTATCGTTTTGTGTATATAAAACTGAACAAACAGTTATTATGTAGAACTTGTATTTCTGTATACACGTGAAATGAAATTATGTCTGACAGTACACATATGTTCTAGCTGCATATAAATACAACTGGGAATCTAGGTGGGGGTAGGAGAGTACATTCTAGGGAACGCATGTCCATAGGGCATGTTTCTAAGGAAAGGGAGGGACATACATTCTTTTCACACTGACCACGGGTTCTACGAATATCACAAAATGTGTATCGCTAAAGTTACCGCCTTGGCGGATCGAACGACGCCTCGTAGAAAACCGTCATTTTGAAATGACTGATTTCGCCGATTATACAGACTTGACATTTAATATGGAATATTTTTTCCAAATCATAATTCATCACTTTTTTTCCTATTTTGCTGACTGATAAATGAAAATAAGGATTAAAATCGTGTTTTAATAACTTTTGATAAACTATTCGATGTCAGTGTGACATCTGTTCATTAAGTGAATTCGCCAGTGAAGCATACAAAAATACATTGCCTATTTTAAGTCATATGACAACCATTGAAAGCGATATTTTGGATCTCCATATTTTCCTAATTATTGTCTTTAAAAGAGTCACAGGTCCCACAAAGCCCCCCCCCCCCCATGTCAGTGTCTAGTCACAGCAACAGTCGCTGTTACGCTTGACCTCATTTTGCTGCTACCAGAGGTTT